GGAGTGCGCCCTCCATTTACCTCCCTGAAGCCGCGGTTAACCGCGGCTTAACGAGCGTGTGCCGGCAATTGACCACCCAGTAGCTGCGGTTAACCGCAGCTTAATTGATTGTTACTGGGTGGTCGCGGTTACACTTAGCCGCCACACGATGGCGGTGTTCTGGAGCTCCCCGGGCAGCCAGCGCTTGTCTGCCCGGCTTTCATGCACCAAACCCGGACACTTTTACGTGCAGGCACCGCTGAACCTCCAACCCCTGGTTCTAATTCGCACGGATTGAACGAATGCATGTAAATTCGGTATTTTATGTTGGAGGAATGTTTTAACCCAGATAGCTATGCCATGGAGCCTATTCGTGGAATTAAAGACTTTGGCTCCATGGCAATTAAAACTGTATTCGTGTGGTCTGAGTGCCATTCACCTAATAATGTGCACTCAGACCTGAGCTATCTGGGGATATGTTACATGTCTGTGTTTTATGTAGTAAATGTTACTTATGTATTTTAAAGTATAATGCTGGTTTTGTGTTCCCACGTGTGTAATGGAGTTTTGCCTTTGACTTGGGAGATAATTGAGTTACTTCCCAATTATCTCCCAGGGCAGAGGGGAGGAAGCCAGGATGCATTGTGGGAATATACTGTGACTGTGTGTCCTTTTTGTATACTTGTCTGTCCCTTGTCACAGTCTCCCATTTGGTCCCCTAGGGGAGTGTCCACCAGGTGGGAGACCTGCATAAAAGCTGGGCAGGTAGCCCTCATTAAACAGACCACTGCTTGACCCTCAACACGGAGCCTTGTCTCGTCTTTGGGGGGATTTACTGTATGCTGCTAAGGACTGATTGCCAGGAGTGTAAGCCGCTTGGGAGCTTTTCCTGTTCGCCTGGTAGCAGCAATTCGTATGGTTCCTGTTCGTGTATTTGGAGTGCTACCTTATTCCCTTGTATGCCGTTCGGGAGTTTGGAGCATTCACTTGTATGCAGTTCGAGTGTTTGGACCATTCCCTTGTATGCAGTTCGAGTGTTTGGACCATTCCCTTGTATGCAGTTCGAGTGTTTGGAGCATTCCCTTGTATGCCGTTCGGGAGTTTGGAGCATTCACTTGTATTCAGTTCATGAGTTTTGGTGATTCTACAGTAGCTGTGCCTGTCTCTGAAAGGGGGATTATCGTCTAAGCGGTTTTTTCCCCTTTTGTGCAAAACGGTCCGTTACAATTGGTGGCAAGCGGCGGGATCGTTCCTACAACCAGAAGGACAGCTACAGGAGACACCATTTCTTTGGATTTTACAATTTGAGGGCAACGCATGTCCCAGTACAGCGACCCTGACAGCACCAGCATGGAACCAGCAGTAGAGTATGACGAGGGTGCCATGGATGACCGAGATGCAGTCCGTAAAGGCATCTGGTACCAGGCACTGGGTATTGTGGAGTACCAGCGGGGCAAGAGACTCCCCAAGGAAGACCAGCGGTTGCAGAAGCGAGTAGCCCCGCGGATGCCCTTCCTGGGAGAGCAGCCCCTGGAGGAATGGGTGAGGAAATTGGAACACCTAGTATGGCAGGAGTTATGGCTAGAAGATGCCTACCAGGCGCTCTGGTGGTATGGGGCACAGTACCTGCCCTGGACAGCCGAGCATGACAAGCCAGAGGGAGAGGAGTTTGATGGTCCTGGCTTGTTATGGGAGTCGTTTTCAGAGCTCGAATTTGGGAGCCCTACACAAGCCCGTTTCAGTGATCTTTTGGAGTGGAGGGAGAGCAGGTATGACTGGGACGACACTCACGAAATTGAGCAAGACCTGGTCCACCTGGTAACCCGGGAGATGGAGCTAGAACAGGGCTACCAGCAGCTGTTCCAATACAGTGAGAAGGCTCAGCGGGAGAGCAGCATGACAGACCCAGAACCAGACCCATTCAGCTGGGAAGACATTGTGGATATTTTCTGGGAAGAACCCCAGGTGGCCGGTAGAGATGGGACCGAGGTCTCTCCACCGGTCCTGCAGGGAATTGGGAGCCCAGTCTCCATTCCCCAGCGGCCGTGTGATTTATTGGGAATTGGGAGCCCAGTCTCCATTCCCCAGCGGGAGATATTGCAGGGAATTGGGAGCCTGAGCTCCATTCCCCAGCGGCAGGCTGAGTTACAGGGGACAGAGATAGTCGCTCCTGTCCCCCAGCAGCAGAATGAATTGCAGGGAATTGGGAGCCCGAGCTCCATTCCCCAGCGGGAGAAATTGCAGGGAATTGGGAGCCCGAGCTCCATTCCCCAGCGGGAGATATTGCAGGGAATTGGGAGCCTGAGCTCCATTCCCCAGCGGCAGGCTGAGTTACAGGGGGCAGAGGTAGTTGTTCCTGCCCCCAGCAGCAGAGTGATATGCCGGGAAGGCAGTGTAAAGTGCAGGGAGAGGAGAACAGCGTCCTCCCTCCCCAGCGGCAGGCTGAGATACAGGGGGCAGAGGTAGCTGTTCCTGCCCCCCAGCAGCCAAGTGATATGCCGGGAAGGCAGTGGGAAGTCCAGGGAGAGGAGAGCAGTGTCCTCCCTCCCCAGCGGCAGCGTGATTTTTGGGGAATTGGGAGCCCAGTCTCCATTCCCCAGCGGCAGAATGATGCTTTGGGAATTGGGAGCCCAGTCTCCATTCCCCAGCGGCAGTATGATGCTTTGGGAATTGGGAGCCCAGTCTCCATTCCCCAGCAGCAGCACAGATCATTGGGAATTGGGAGCCCCGTCTCCATTCCCCAGCGGCAGAATGATGCTTTGGGAATTGGGAGCCCAGTCTCCATTCCCCAGCGGCAGAGTGTCCTACCGGGAATAGAGAGCCCAGTCTCCTTTCCCCAGCAGCAGGACTCTGTATTGGGAGCAGACAGTCGGTCTCCCTCCCCCACAGCTGGAAGTATGTATGGGAGAGGAGCTTGTTACCCCCTCTCCCCAGCGGCAGCTTAATGTACAAAGGGGAGACAGTAAGCCCCACAACTGTGCAGATGGGACCGTAGTCTCTACACTGCCAGCACAGGGGGTAGGGACGGTCGGTCCTGCCCCCCAGCGACAGGGCTGTTTAGCCAAAGGGGAGACAATCGGTCTCCCCATCCAGCAGCAGAGATGGGTAACCAAAGGGGAGACGGTCGGTCTCCAGCAGCAGGACTGTGCAGCTAAAGGGGAGACGGTCGGTCTCCAGCAGCAGGACTGTGCATCTAAAGGGGAGACAGTCAGTCTCCAGCAGCAGCAGCAGAGCGGTGTATTTAAAGGGGAGACAGTCGGACTCCCCCTCCAACAACCAGGCTTCCACCAGGCTACCCTCCCAGTAGCGCTGGCAACAGGGCAGAGTGCCGCTGGTCTCTGCCCACGCAGCAACCCACCAAGGCAGCGTACCCGTACCCAGCACAGCCGTGGTGAGGCACCTGGACATGGACAAGCTTCTTGTCTACCCAGGTGTAGTAACCATTTATTGTGGGTGGGCTGTGCTGTTGATTATGTTTTGTGGGTGGGCTGCTGGACTAACAAGGGCACTGACCGGCAGGAGGTCAGATACCCTGTTAGTCTGTTTGAAAAGGGGAGAGATGTGACGAGACCAATCTCGCCACATTGCATTGGAGAAGCCTGGTTGCTTGCCTGCTGCCTTTGGATTATGGACCGGCAGCTAAAGGGTTAATTTTACTGTGCAGAAGGATTTATTTCTCCCTTTCTGCACAGCCGTTCGGTAGATTCCATCTACCAAACAAACAGTCTCTTTTCAGCCTCCCCAGAGCCGTGGGAAGCCGGCCGCCGACCATAATTGGCCACCCAGAAGCTGGAGTGCGCCCTACATTTACCTCCCTGAAGCCGCGGTTAACCGCAGCTTAACAAGCGTGTGCAGGCAATTGACCACCCAGTAGCTGCGGTTAACCGCAGCTTAATTGATTGTTACTGGGTGGTCGCGGTTACACTTAGCCGCCACACGATGGCGGTGTTCTGGAGCTCCCCGGGCAGCCAGCGCTTGTCTGCCCGGCTTTCATGCACCAAACCCGGACACTTTTACGTACAGGCACCGCTGAACCTCCAACCCCTGGTTCTAATTCGCACGGATTGAACGAATGCATGTAAATTCGGTATTTTATGTTGGAGGAATGTTTTAACCCAGATAGCTATGCCATGGAGCCTATTCGTGGAATTAAAGACTTTAGCTCCATGCCAATTAAAACTGTATTCGTGTGGTCTGAGTGCCATTCACCTAATAATGTGCACTCAGACCTGAGCTATCTGGGGATATGTTACATGTCTGTGTTTTATGTAGTAAATGTTACTTTGTGCATTTTAAAGTATAATGCTGGTTTTGTGTTCCCACGTGTGTAATGGAGTTTTGCCTTTGACTTGGGAGATAATTGAGTTGCTTCCCAATTATCTCCCAGGGCAGAGGGGAGGAAGCCAGGATGCATTGTGGGAATATACTGTGACTGTGTGTCCTTTTTGTATACTTGTCTGTCCCTTGTCACAGTCTCCCATTTGGTCCCCTAGGGGGGTGTCCACCAGGTGGGAGACCTGCATAAAAGCTGGGCAGGTAGCCCTCATTAAACAGACCACTGCTTGACCCTCAACACGGAGCTCTGTCTCGTCTTTGGGGGGATTTACTGTATGCTGCTAAGGACTGATTGCCAGGAGTGTAAGCCGCGTGGGAGCTTTTCCTGTTCGTCTGGTAGCAGCAATTCGTATGGTTCCTGTTCGTGTATTTGGAGTGCTACCTTATTCCCTTGTATGCCGTTCGGGAGTTTGGAGCATTCACTTGTATGCAGTTCGAGTGTTTGGACCATTCCCTTGTATGCAGTTCGAGTGTTTGGAGCATTCCCTTGTATGCAGTTCGAGTGTTTGGAGCATTCCCTTGTATGCCGTTCGGGAGTTTGGAGCATTCACTTGTATTCAGTTCATGAGTTTTGGTGATTCTACAGTAGCTGTGCCTGTCTCTGAAAGGGGGATTATCGTCTAAGCGGTTTTTTACCCCTTGTGTGCAAAACGGTCCGTTACACTGCTTTACCTTTAATATCTGCTATGGTGAACTCACTACTATACACGCATTACTGCTTTACCTCTAATATCTGCTACGGTGCATCACTGCTATACAAGCATTACTGCTTTACCTTTAATATCTGCTATGGTGCACCCACTGCTATACACGCATTACTGCTTTACCTCCAATATCTACACCGGTGCACCCACTGCTATACTGACATTACTGCTTTACCTCCAATATCTACACCGGTGCACCCACTGCTATACATGCATTACTGCTTTACCTCCAATAACTACACCGGTGCACCCACTGGTATACACGCATTACTGCTTTACCTCCAATATCTACACCGGTGCACCCACTGCTATATACGCATTACTGCTTTACCTCCAATATCTACACCGGTGCACCTACTGCATTCACGCATTACTGCTTTACCTCCAATATCTACACCGGTGCACCCACTGCTATACACGCATTACTGCTTTACCTCCAATATCTACACCGGCGCACCAACTGCTATACACGCATTACTGCTATACCTCCAATATCTACACCGGTGCACCCACTGCTATACACGCATTACTGATTTACCTCCAATATCTACACCGGTGCACCAAATGCTATACATGCATTACTGCTTTACCTTTAATATCTGCTACGGTGCACCAACTGCTATACACGCATTACTGCTTTACCTTTAATATCTGCTATGGTGAACTCACTACTATACACGCATTACTGCTTTACCTCTAATATCTGCTACGGTGCATCACTGCTATACAAGCATTACTGCTTTACCTTTAATATCTGCTATGGTGCACCCACTGCTATACACGCATTACTGCTTTACCTCTAATATCTACACCGGTGCACCCACTGCTATACACGCATTACTGCTTTACCTCCAATATCTACACCGGTGCACCCACTGCTATACATGCATTACTGCTTTACCTCTAATATCAGCACCAGTGCAAACACTGCTATACACGCATTACTGCTTTACCTCTAACATCTGCATTGGTGCACCCACTGTTATACACGCATTACTGCTTTACCTCCAATATCTACACCGGTGCACCCACTGCTATACATGCATTACTGCTTTACCTCCAATATCTGCACCGGTGCACCCACTGCTATATACGCATTACTGCTTTACCTCCAATATCTACACCGGTGCACCTACTGCATTCACGCATTACTGCTTTACCTCCAATATCTACTTCGGTGCACCCACTGCTATACACGCATTACTGCTTTACCTCCAATATCTACACCGGCGCACCAACTGCTATACACGCATTACTGCTATACCTCCAATATCTACACCGGTGCACCCACTGCTATACATGCATTACTGCTATACCTCTAATATCTGCACCGGTGCATCCACTGCTATACATGCATTACTGCTTTACCGTTAATATCTGCAACGGTGCACCTACTGCTATACACGCATTACTGCTTTTCCTCTAATATCTGCATTGGTGCACACACTGCTATACATGCATTACTGCTTTACCTCTAATATCTACACCGGTGCACCCACTGCTATATATGCATTACTGCTTTACCTCCAATATCTACACCGGTGCACCCACTGCTATACACGCATTACTGCTTTACCTCCAATATATGTATTTCCCCCCGGGCATTTTCATTGTTGGGACGAGACTTTTACAAATGATGATTGATAGGTAGGAGACAGTAGCCAAATGTGGAGTTTACTCACAGATCAAGTAAGAAGAATATAGGCAAATAGGGAGGAACACTCTATATGTAGTATATAAATCTATATTTA